CTCCAGGGTCTGAGGCAGTGTGGTCTGCCCTAGTCCTGTTTTGAGATGCTGGGGACTCAACTATTGTGTTCAAAGCTTGTGCTTCCCCAGTGAGCTACAGCTCATCCCTCAACGATCCCCAGGTCAAGTTATTTCCTGCTGATCGCTGAAGAATTGATGCTTTTGAATTATGGTGCTGGAGGAGACTCTTGAGAGTCCCATGGACTGCAAGAAGGTCAAACCTATCCATTCTGAAGGAAATCAGCCCTGGGTGCTCACTGGAAGGACAGATCCTGAAGCTGAGGCTCTAATACTTTGGCTACCTCATGAGAAGAGAAGACTCCCTGGAAAAGACCCTGATGTGGGGAAAGATTGAGGACACAAGGAGAAGGGGACGACAGAGGACAAGATGGTTGGACAGTGTTCTCGAAGCTACTAACATGAGTTTGACCAAACTGCGGGAGGCAGTGGAAGACAGGAGTGCCTGGCGTGCTTTGGTCCATGGGGTTATGAACAGTCAGACATGACTAAACAACAACAACATGTGGAAGAACTATGTGCCATGGCATCATCCTGTTCTGTTCTCCTGTGTCTTTTCAATGCCTTTGACTAGCAGGATTTTCCCCAAGCTATTTTTTTGCTGCATTGTCATAAAAGCACATTTATATAACACTCCCAGCCCCCACAATACATCCCTCCAAATGATTTGGATTGCTATGCACAAACAATGCCGTAACCCTTCATGGTTAATCTGGTACCATCAATGACTTGAGGTTTATGAAAAGAAAGGTGCTCTGGTTGGTTGACCAGTTCAAAGTTCTACATAGTTTTAGTAACAGCCTAATACCAATGAAAGGTATTTTGCTTTTAGGGGGCACAAATTTTTTTAAGTGAGTCTAGGTTGTTATTCAGGTAGTGAATACTGCCTGATGAACTATGTTGAAAGGTCAAAAGTAAAGACATGTCAGGGAAGAAGGGAAGAATGATAAATTGTTGGCAGCACTCTGATCTGCATTTGGAACATGGCCAGTAGGCTAAATATTATATTTAAAGAGGTCAACTTTTATTCTTATGTCTTCTGATGAATGCCTTTGAATTTTCAGTATAAGATTATTATTTGTCAGAATACGTTGATTCTACCTGTATTCGCTACCTGGTTTCTTCTTAACAGTGGCGTCATTCTGCAGTCACAGAAAAGCTTGAAACAACAGGCCCATTCCAACACTCAGGCTGATGTGATGGTCATGTGCAGGGGAGAGTGAGTCCAGGCATTGGGGGAGGTGAATCATGGTCACTGTAACGCAATATCACACAGGCACAAAATTGATCTGACTAATATCTGTGATCTTAACCTCACTGTTTGTAGGTATGCTTCTGTTTTCATATGCCTGGGTCCACATGAGTTCATTTGTGTGGTGGCAGCCAAGCAGACCCATGAGTTCAGGTTATTAAACATCAACTGTTTTCTAACAATAAATATATTTGCTTATTTTGAGGCCTACCTTGATGACTCAAGCTTGAAGCTCGTAACTATTCTTTGGGTGGTCACTGAGCACCAGATGAATTTGGCTGCTGTGTTTGAAGTAATCAACCTTGTAGTTCTTTAAGCAGATGCTGTTCAGCAAATGGAGAGCTATCGTATTTTAGCTCTACCCCCTACTGGACCAGACGTGTCCATCCAAATAAAAAGGAAGGATTTACTGCTATTGGTCAGTCACAGGTGCTTTTACAGACTGTTACAAGTTTTTTTTGTGATTCATAACTCTCCGTTGAACACTCTTCTTCTGTCTTCCCTCTAACTGAGTCTAGCTAAGGCCTTGGAATATTTGACTAATTTACTCTTAACAAGCTTCATTAAGCATATCAGCGCCTTTTGCCGCACGCTATAAGGTTGCATCTAGAAACCAGCTACCTCCAGCAGTCAGAGTCCTTTTGCAGGCTAGACAGCCAGCAAGGCAAGCATCAGCTGTGCCCATCACCAAGGTGACTGCTGCTAGTCTAATTGTACTACAGGGATCAATGAGTGAGACAGATTGGGAATCACACAAAACCAACAATGGCTGGGAAGATGCTTATCTGAAACCTTGGAGAGCTGCTGCCAATCACTGTAGACCAGAGTAGGCAACTTGGCTCCCTCTTGGTGTTCTGGACTGTCGTTCTCATCATTCCTGGCCATTGGCCATGCTGACAGGGGCCAATGAGAGTTGTAGTCTGGAGCATGGGGGAGGGGGCAACCAGAATGCTTTCCTCTGGTATTGGCTGTCGGTATTCATCCTGATGGAACGCAGGTGGCGCTGTGGGTTAAACCACAGAGCCTAGGGCTTGCCGATCAGAAGGTCAGATGTTCGAATCCCTGCGACGGGGTGAGCTCCCATTGCTCGGTCCCTGCTCCTGCCAACCTAGCAGTTCAAAAGCATGTCAAAGTGCAAGTAGATAAGTAGATACCGCTCTGGCGGGAAGGTAAACGGCGTTTCCGTGCGCTACTCTGGTTTGCCAGAAGCGGCTTAGTCATGCTGGCCACATGACCCGGAAGCTGTACACCGGCTCCCTCGGCCAATAAAGCGAGATGAGCGCCGCAACCCCAGAGTCAGTCACGACTGGACCTAATGGTCAGGGGTCCCTTTACCTTTACCTTTATTCATCCTGATGGATTTCTTCTAGTCTTTTACAAAGCCTAGTAGTAGTGAAGACAAGTTGTATACAGGGAAATATGGAAGACAGTGTATGGTTATGATTGTCCACCCCATCTCTGAAATGCATGGATTAAATTCTTCGTTATTCTCTCTCCCCGCCCCCCTTTTAAAAAGAAAGGAATTTTTGACAATAGCGAAACAGCATTCCAGTAATTTAAAATGTTGGTATTTCACACCATTTCACTTATTAACAAATGTGATTGATGCTCAAAGTGGGCTTGTAGTGATGAGTGGAGATCGAATGTCAACACATACCGTTGTGCTTTTCTTTTGAGATTTGCTGACAAGCCTCATACTAGATAGGAAAGGAGCAATTAAGAGCTGCCTGCCAAGTTTGTTTTTGCTTGGCTTTTTTTTTTTTTTGGTCTTTCAATTATATTTTGGATAATGATAGACGAGATGCAACTTGATGATAAGGGTGAGTCTTAAAAGGCACAGTGGTCCCTTTAGCGTTTCACATAATTTCTAGTAGGAAATAAGATTGCATTAATTGCCATTACACTGTGATTATAGAATTATGGGAGTCTGGCATTTCATTTGTCATCCATTTCTTTAAACGGCGGTGATGATACTTATCTCTGTAGTTAATCTAGGTGCACAACAGCACTGCCAACAATGATAATTATTTGCAAAGTTGCTTTTTTTGCTTGAGTTATCTGGAGCTACTTGCTTACCAACCTGGTAGGAGTAATAGTGCTAATCTAGAAGTGTTTTCCATTGTCTGGATTTTGTGGGTTGATCTATGAGGGCTGATCCACGTGGACAACCTTTCTTCACAGCCACGCAGCATACAGAGAATATCAGCTGTTTTAAGGAACAAGCAATGGAACAGATGTCCCAAAAAGAAAAAGGCATCTGACCACATGTGTGGGGAAAGCAGCCTGATTGCCAAAGCAAGCAATTGGCAATATTGAAAGAATGGCTAGCCAAAACTCAAATAGGCCGTCATTTCCTCCAGATATTTCCCAGGTGGGCCTGGGGGGGGGGGGAACGGAACTGGAATTCCACCTGTTATGTTTCCCTCCTACCCAGAGCAGAGCGACTTGCAGTGCGTTGGTCAGCCAAGAGAAACAGGGTCCTCTGCTTTTCAATTTTGCCAGGCAGGATTTCATGCAGCCTTTCATCTGCATCCGCTAATTGGCTAATGTGGCGTTTGCCCACTCATTATGGAGATGTTGTACTGGGGGGAGAGAGAAAGGGTTGATAGGCTGACCAATAAGAAAGCTCAGGGGCGGAGCCTAACTGTGTTTAAGGCACAACACGGGTTTTGGCAGTTATTTCGGTTGGTTTCTTGTGGGTGGGAGGCATAGGAGTCAGAGACAGAGGGGAGACAGAGAGGGTGAATTGGATTACAAGTGTTTCAAAGTATTTAGAACTTGTTTGCGTTCACAATAAACTGGAATCTTTGTTAATGCATTACAACATGACTGGGTCTGAATATATTACTGGAGAAACCTGGTTGGTGGCAGTGGAAGAGATAAGCCGTGGTGGTGCAGGGTCAATAGTCGGTGGAACGACCAGGGGCTCTGTGTGAACGCCACAGCTGCCACTTTGGAAACTGTGTGTTCAGTGAAAGGTTGCTTTGTGACTTCGGTTTGATCTGGAAATGTCACCTGTATCCCGACAGGCTTCCAACCTTGACCTTCAACCTGTACCTTGCTCTGGGCTTTTGCTTGTGGTTTTGACTGGTTCTTTCCATATGGAGAACAATAGGTGCACTAACTGCACTATGTTTGGTCCATTAGTTTCCTCTGCAGATTTTGCGCTCTTCATTGCGAGGTACTGGAGCTGGTGGAAGTTATAGTTTAGCAACATCCATAGCGCTCCATGTTAGCTACTCCTGATCTATACAGTGGTACCTCTGGTTGCAAACGAGATCTGTTCCAGAGGCCTGTTCACAACCTGAGAAGAACACAACCCGCATGTGCAGGTCACAATTCACCACTTCTGCACATGTGCATGACATCATTTTGCGCATCTGCGCATGCGCAAGCGGTGAAACCCAGAAGTAATCCTTTCCGGTACTTCTGGGTCGCCGCGGGACGCAACCTGAAAATGCTCAACCTGAAGCAAACGTAACATGAGATATGACTGTATTTCCTTTTTTGGGGATGAGGCATAAAATTAGCAGGCATGGCTGATTCTTTAAAAAGTTCCCTCATATGAACTATTTTTGGTGGGGTTTTTCTAATGAAACACAGCTTTTCATTTATGTATTTAATATGCATTTATTTAATAGATTTTTATCCCACCTTTTAGAATACCAATCTTACTATTGCCTTTATTCTCCCGTTAAGGCCTTGTGTGCTTTTCTTTGTGTAATTGCAGCTGGCGCAGAGAACAAAATCGGCTGGGCGTTTGGCCTGGGGTTGGAGAGGCTGGCCATGATCCTGTACGGGATCCCTGACATCCGACTTTTCTGGAGCAAAGACGAGCGTTTCCTGAAACAGTTCCACGTGCCTCACATTAACCAAAGAATACAATTCCAGGTAAGATTGAAACGTTGGAACGATGTTTAAGGAAAGTGAGAGCTTGCAGAGAGCAATGCCTGGAAGTTCTGCTTCCCTTTGTTTACAGCAGCGTTGTGATGCTCCCATCCATTTCAATGACGGCCTATTTATGGCATTTCTAGCCCACTTTCCCCCCAAGGAGTTCAAGGTGGCATACATAGTTCCCCTTCTCCTCATTTAGTCCTCACAACAACCCTGTGAGGTTAGGCTAAGAGGAGAGACAGTGACTGGCCCAAGGTCACCCAGCGAGCTTCCTGGCTGAGTGGCGATTTGAACCCTGGTCTCCCAGGTCCTAGTCCAACACTCTAACCACCACACTACACCATAGCTGTCAACTTTCCCCTTTTCCAATTCGGAATAAGGGAATTTCACTTTAAAAAGGGGAAACGTTGACAGCTATGCACCACACTGGCTCTCTATGTAGGCATCTGCATGAAGGAAGAGGCAAGTTGCTCATTCTTAATGCAAAGGCAGCTTATATCCTATTTCTTGAAGCACACTTCATTTGCTGAATATTTTTAAGGTTAACTTTTGAATCAGTAGCATTTGTAAGCAGTCTGTATGTGCAAATTCATCTCAGCTTTCTGTAGGTGGTGGTGCTTTTTAAAAAAACAAACAAAACACACACACACACACACACACGTCTTTAATTTTATTGATTTCACCTAATCAATATTAACTGAAAAGGGCACAGAGGTTTCACCGCCACATGCTGTGTGCACTGATTTCCAAAAATTGTTAGGCTACCAAGACGTCTCAGGCTTGTTGATTTGCATAAGACATGTGGGAAAGAGCTTGCGATTCCAAAAGGAATCTGCCCGTCTAGTTCTGCTTAAACAGCTTTGAGAAGAATTTGCAAGTGGGAGGCCTGGGAGAGAAGCTGGAAGAGTAAACAAATCTGGACAAATACAAGTATCACAGATTTATGCGATGATGCTCCAGCACTTGGTTTTTGTGGAAAGTCTTGGGAGTTCCACAGCATGGTGCAATATGTTTCCTAATCGCAACATTGGGAGTTGCTTGGCTGACATGGCTGGAGCCAGCACACGGCAAAGGTGGGCAACTGCCCAAAGCTCATGGATATGTGCAGAACTCACTGAGCCAAGCCCCAGATCCAGTGTGATTCCCAGTTCATCCTTCCTGGGGGCGGAGGATTAATAATGGCAGAATGGCACAGGCTTGGGGGTGGGGTGCCTTGCCTGGACCAGGGATAACAACCAACTGCAGTCTTTTGCTCCAAAGGCTGGAGCACATCTGAAACTAGGCTCACAATACATCATCGCCACATGCTAAGAGCTGGGAAGGAAGAGAAGGGTGAACCACCAAAGATATGCAAAATCATCTGAGAGTGGCCCTGAAGCTAATCCCCAGATGGCAAGAGCATGTTATCTGCACTCATGAGGTCCAAAGGGGTAGGATGGAACATAGCAATGCTTCGACACAACACTATTTCAGATGGAAAGGAACTGCAGTGAAATAATAATCCCTTCGAGGTTCAAAACTAGTGCAATATTGAAGGGGGACCAGGTGGCAAGACAGCATCCGAATGAGTAGATAGCATCCTTTCCTCCGATCTGAGACACCACTTCTGCAGCCTTGCCACCACCATCACTGCCCCTGATCAGAGATAGTCGACATTTCTGTTCAGCCCAGGTGTGCTGTAATGCAGGGATGAGGAACCTCTGGTCCCACAGACCATTCTTGGCCCACCATGAGGTTGAACTTGGCCTGTGAGGCCACGTTCCCCAAACCACACCAACCTGCCCATTGGCTGACGTCACTGGGGAATGTCAGCTTGAGCAGGGCAGGGCTTCCTCCTGCTGCATGCTGTTTTGCTAGCACATTCTCAGCGGGGAGCTCACTGGCGAAGTAGACCTCTGCAGCAAGCAGGATGAATCCCTCTGCTCATCAGCTGCACAGCAGAGTGTCCAGCCCTCCTCGGTTCTGCTTTGCTAGTTTGTTCCCTATGAGAAACGTTGGCAAAGAAGACCTTTCACCCTACCCATGTGGACCCACTATGATGGGTGGATCACCCACCTGTCAATCACTAGACACCATCATGACATCAGATGATTTATAAGTGGGTGGGGCTGGCCATCTGTCAGAGTTGGCCCATGAGGTGGTGGGAAGACGAAGATCCACCGATGCTAGAAAATGTTGCAATTCCACTCAAAAGCATTTCTCTCTCTAATACATACGCAGGATCAAGGAATCATTCGTGAAGTTCCTTGCATTGGGTGGGCTGTGGGCTGCATGCTTTCACTGTGATGTTGTCATGTCCCAACGCAGGAGAATTAGAGGTGCCACGACAAATTTAAAGATTGGGATGTCGCTGTGTCCATGTTGTACAATGCAATGATACATGAGGCCACCGAGAAATCAAAACCTTGTTTGGGTATATTCGGAACCCCCAAAATACGCCAAATTGGTGGGGGTGAGGAATTGCTTCCTCATCTGTACTGTTCATTTCAGGACAAACAACTGTGTGTGTACAAACTAGCCATTTCAGCTCATTCAACATCAATATGAAGTTGGGATAGACCTGATGATGCTTTTTACTAGCTCTTTTCCTCTGTGTAATTTACGTTTGCGATCTGAGTTTATGATTAGCATTTTTCCACGATTAAAAAAAAAGTAAGTAGCTGCCATGGGTTCCGCATTCTTTGAAATTTTTCATCTTTATAGGGTAATGATGCCTAAATAGTTATTCATTCATTATGTTTACTTTTTAATAGCACATCTATTAAAAGCAGCCATGCAGCCATTAGTAAGCAAATTGAACTTGGATGCCTAAAATAATGAGGTTCAGCCTGTGATTTGATTTATTGGCTCATTAGCTTGATTGTAATTGAGGATATGTATGAAGTGCGTATATCTGGGTTTGCATATACTTGTGAGAGTATCTAGGCATGTACCAAAGAATCCTGAGCCTTATACATTGAAAGTAAGATATATTATTGTAGAACTGAATTATTTGGCTGCAATTTCTGTCCGTAGGATTCAACTCGGTGAAAATGTATTCCGTATGTGTGCCACTTGGTTCTATAAAGTCGTGAGAACTCTACAGGCAACCTAAAGTACATTTAAGCACACATTCCAAACTGGGGGTAAAAGACAGTCAGCACCAGTCATATTTATATGGTGGCATCCAATTGACCTCTGCCATGGGTTTCTGTGAGTGAACTTAGTTTTGTAAATGCGCCTCGTATACTGTCTGATTGTGACTCAGGACTAAATCCATGAAGTTAAATGCACATTCTTTCTTCACGGGCCTGTTGTCTTGTGGAAAAGGTGGTTGGGGAAAACTTTGAAAACTGCTTTGGCATGGAATGGTGATTTGTGGTATGGACATGCATCGAATCATTCAAAAGATTGGTTTTCTATTCCAAGATCATTGAAAAGTCAAGTTGTAGACAGTATAGAATGGCCTTATGGTTGAACACTGCTTGATATAGCTGCTGTAAGCAATTTTTATTTTATTGGCTGGTATTAAAGGATTAAATGATAAACCACTTTTGGTTCTCCTTATGTGTAACAGAGTACAAACAAGTCGCTGACTCTGCCCTTTTACCCACAGTTTGATGCTTATTGCAACAAATTGTGTACAATAAGATATGGCTGTTCAAGATTGTTGTTTCAATATATATGGCTTTCTATGGCTATAAAGAATCATTTTTTAAAAAATTCATTTAGCCTCTTTTATCCCTCAAATCATTTCATTTAATTTGATAATGATTTGGGAACAAGCAACTCTGAGCCCACTGAATAGAGTGGAATTAAATCCACCAAGTAAATATGAGAAAATGATACATATGAATTTGCTAGCTGCAAAACTTCCTCCTAGATTCCTGTGGAGTCCTTCTCTCACAGATGCAACTCCAAACAAGCTTCCTGGATAACAAACTGTGACATGTCATTACTATAGAGTATATGGCCAAGGAACCATTTGAAAGAGGCATTTCATGAGTAGCTAACACTGGCTGTACTTGCATGTCATGGTAAATCACAGTTAGTGGTTTACTGTGAATGTTTAGATAGCTTTGTCTTCACTCCTCACATGACTAGGAACTATGAACCTGTCAGGAAAAAGTAGCAATGCAAAAGCAAGCTGCAGGTGTCTGGAATGCAAAACACAATGTTGATGTCTGGGACTGTACTATTGGGAAAAGGGGGCAGTCCATTCAGTGTACTGAGCACCGGATGTTAGCTCAGAGTGTCATCTGACCTGTACTGGAAGTACAGGGGTGGAGTCAGTGTGGTCTTTTGCTGGAGACTGGAGGGTACAGACATGTTTCTCTGTACTGCTGGAATGACAGAAATAAAGAGATGTAAATAGATTTCTGTCTCTTTTCCCCTCCCTGAGGGAAGCAGGGAGGAGGGTGTGTCCCTCTCACGTTGAGTGGGATTGCCGATTTGTGACCTTGCCTGTAACCTGCCGGGAGACGCAGCCGGGAAGGTCATCAAGGATCTCGAGCCGAATGCCTGGTGTGAGGCCAGTTACCTCTGACTGCGGCTGAGAATCCTGACAGAACCATGGTCCCTGGCTTAGCAGTATATCCAAACTGAAGGCTGTGGTTTGTTTCACACTCCTAACAAAACATGATTTGAAGCCAAGGTTTGTTCTTGGCTTACCAAATGTGGTTTCTTTGACTGAAACAAATTATAGTCCTTGGTTTGGACATAGTGCTAAGCCAGATATTGTAGTTTGTTGCTGATGCTTAGGGGCAGGCGCAGGGGAGTGAAGCAAGAGCATTCTCTCAAGTCTCAGTATACCATGGTTTATCATGACCTGGGCATGTCAGATGTCAAAATCACTCCTTTGTCAGTATTACACTATTGGCAGATATTACAGCAGTGTTTCTAGTCGTTTGCTTTGAAGCAATAATTCATTATTAGCACATAACAGTTATTTTTAAATGCCCTTCAGAAGCATTTTTTAAAGATTCAGGAACAATTTAAAATGCTGTTTAGCAAGCATT